GCATATCGGACATTTAGCTTCTGGATCTATATATTTAAAAACATCTCGATACCATGCATTTGATTTAATATATCTCATGAAAGGGAATCATTTTTGTACTGCTTCAATAATCACATCTTTTTCTCCCGGAAATTTAGAAATCTTGATTATATAGTCTTGTGAAAGATGATTATCAACATTATCAGTTTGTGGAAATTCAGAAACTTCAAACTTTATTCAGGGATCGAGACCAATCTCCTCTATATATGCTCTATATAAGCTCAAACGAATTTTATCTGTTAAATGGCTTGGCGAATCAACCAATTTAGCATACCAGTCCAAATATTTAGGGGTTAAGGCTTTATCCATGTTATTGTTTTATATGATCGCAAATTCAAATTAAGTTTATGTCTTTGTCTCGCTTATATAACAAGGATACCGTACTTACTCTGTGCATATCCCGAAATAGTAATTAAAAAAATAAATATAGTTAATATTTACGATTATTTGAAACCGGAGAATTTGTCAAAGGCAGTATGATATTATTTATGCTGTTATCTCGATTTCATGCTTTCCACATTTAATAAAATAAGATCCAGCTTCGTATCTACCCTTTACACTTTTTCCTTCCTCGTGACTGTGCTTGCATACTAGACATAAGGACCCTTCATGAATTCCATAATAATCAAATTTTTCACTACTAAATTCTTTATATAGATCAGAATATCCCCACAATATCTTATTACGAAAATAATCACGATCATGAGTCTGATTTTCTTTTGAAACCTTTTTAGGCACTACGTTTACCTCAGCTTTAGATAAATAGGAAACGTGAAATTCAGTAGATATACTTATCTTGGTCTCGGTTTCTGGTAAAGATTCAGATTCAATAGATTCCTCATTTCGTGGGACTTCCTCAATTATTTCAGATGAGATTTTTCCGGGACCGCCGGTCTCGGAAATTTCAGTATTATCGGATGAAATTTGATGTTCTGCATTATCTGTATCGACATTCTAACAAGAATAATTTATAATCTCTTGAATTTGATCATTAGTAAGCTTTGAAATGGAATTCGCGCTATATGATTTGATGTATTTGATTTTATCATGGCCTATTTTTTCGAATAATATATAAATTTTCTCAGCTCTTTGAGTTTTTTTGCGCAAAGCATCTCGTGATATTTCTGGAAGATGTAAACCCAATTCTTGAGATCTTTTTTTACGGATAATAGAAAGCTGTTTTATAATGGAATCATACA